TGAGACTAATTGAAAACTACAGTTTACTTCCCTAAAATCAAGAAAAGTTAAGCTCATTAGGACCCAAGCTCTAGAAAAAAGTACCAGACCAAAGTATTTGACTAACATTTTTTTTTCAATTTAATAATTCATGTACCTCAGTTTTCTTGGGTCCTTGACTAAGTTCCTTAGGGAATAAAAATATCTTCTTCAGCAAACTATTACATTACTGAAGTTTAGTGGCTCTTTACATTTTTAAATTGTACCAAATTTAATAAAATACAATATGCTTTACTTTCAATTTCAGTGAAAAAATATTGCTAAATAATGCTATGGGGTATTTCCTGTTTATATGATCAATAACTCACTGCATTATAGATGAATTAACTTGAAATAATTAAGGTAAATAAAAATGTTTGTAGATGCACAAAAATGCAGAATTAAATATCAGGCAAAAGCAGATTTTAACCATCCTTTTATCATCTCTTATCTTCAGACCTAATAACCATACTTTTTGCTTTATGTTTAGATTAGTCCAATTGAGTGACTACAGGTCAAATTAATTTTCACGGTTTGGTTTTTTTTTTGTTTTTTGTTTTTTTTTTTTTTGGCTTTAACGTGAAAAACGGCAAGAACAGATTCTGAGGTCTGTGTTAAAATATACAGGCTGACTCAGTTGCACAGAGCTGTTCTGCAGAAGGTTTTATTGGGGATAAAAGATGTGTTGCCAAGGTTGTCTATCGCCTTCAGTTTATTTGAAAAAAAAAACAAATGAATTCAAGGAGGCATTAAGCTGTGCAGCGACTTTCTTCAGTTTGTTTCCCCAAAGGTGCTTTGTTCACGTTGACATCCTCATGGCAGATTTGAACAAAATAAGATTTGATTTGAGAGTGTTTATAGGCTAGAGGTGTTTGATATAGCCTGTCTGCCACCAACTTTGGTGCCCTGCATGGCCCCAGCTTCAAACATGTCCCAGAGGCTCAGAGCATGTGCTCAGAAACCGACATGGGGTATCAGAATCAATTAGCCCCTCTAGGAATTAAAAGCAAGCAATTGAATGCCTGTTAGCAATGATTAACTTTAAAAATATTAGCAATTCTGGGCAGATCCCTTTCCTTTCTGGAAGAATGCTCGAGGCAGGCAGCATTCCCAGGAATGTTGGTTTCCAGCTATGTAGACACTCTTGTGGATACAAAGTTGCCCCCTGGGTCTTTGCTGGTGCTTTTGACTTGGGAATGAATATTACTCTTATGTATGAAACTCCAGTTCTTCCTAGAAGGGTTTTCAGAGATCTCTATGCCATTTTCAGCTGCTATCTAAACCCTTGCATTCTTTCTTTTTAAATTTTTTCTCAGTTATAAAATGAGCATACAGATAATATTTATTGAGTAGTTTTGAGGGCCATAATTGATTGAAAAATGCTATATAAAATGCTGATCTTAATGTCAAGCTCGTATAAGCCCTGCTATATATGTTTTCTTTTCCAAGTTTCCTTATAAGTTTCAGCCTTTAATTTGTCCTTATATGTCTATTTAAGTTTATAAAAAAACAAAGGGGCAAAGATATTTTACACTGGTGCTCTTTACTTCTGAGTTCTCACCTATATGCAATAATGATATTAAAACAAATTATCTTTACTGTTGTCTACCTGGGAATTTGAGTTTGATTGTGTTTATTTTTTAAGCGGCAATTGTCTGAAACAGAGAGGGTGGGAAAAGCCTATAGTTTGGGGCAGTGGTGGGGAAACGTTACGTACTTTGTCAAATATTTTGGTTATGGAATGGAATTATCATCTCGAAGGTTTATTTTCTCTCTTGTTATCAACTGAGGCCAGATCGCTTGCTTTCACTAATGTCCAAGTCTTGGGAAACGTTAACAGAGCTAGTGAGGGGAGAAATTCCATTGGGGTGGAATCTAGGCTCTGTGAAGATATGGAACATTATGGGCACTCAACGGATGTTAATAAATACCTCTTTCTATTGTTGTGACAAAGTGGGGTTGATTTGGGTGTGAATTGTAATGGTTAGTGGAAGGACCTTGTACCTAAAAAGGGTGTGTTTTAAGGAGAAGAGGAATCTGGGTATTGAGCAAAGTTGCATTGTTTTATCATACCAAATTATGTTTTATTTTCAAGGGCTGTCATCCCCTAAAATTGTCAGCTCCCTTGTGTCCATGTCCTATGCCTTCTCGGCAGTCTTGACAATACGTTGCTGTGGACACAGACAGATTTCAATAGATCCTTGTTGATTGAAACCAAACATTTGGAAATCTTAGAGGCAGAGTTGATGAAGTATGAGGAGGGTCGCAGGGAGAGAGGAAGAGAAAAACAGTCAAGGCAGAGAGAGAATGAAATATAAAACTGCCTGGGAAGCCAGAAAAGAACAAAGTTGGTGGGCAACTAACAATTTATGTTCTCCTGAGAAAAGAAAAAAACTGGACACAAGAGAATTTTTAAAATCTGAAGAGCTAATTAACCAAATTATAAGACCTCTAAAATATCCCTCTCATTAGAGTTGTAATTTTGAGACTTAAAAAAAAAATAGGGGAAGTTCTTATTTGTCCCAAGAATCTATTTAAATTTGGAATTGTACAGTAATAGAAATTTTAGGGGGGAAATGCAGTGTGCTGTAGCTTATAAATCATGTCAATATTTTGACTCCTAACTAACCCTCATTTTGATGGTGAAGGGAAGAAAAAATGTGTATAAAGCCATCTGTGGTTTCAGTGAATGGGCTGATTTGATAAAGAAAAAGTGGAATTAGGTGGTAAGTAGACAAATAAGAAAACCCCAACAGCACAACGTGGGCAGGTTAAAATATCAAAAATAATCATACAAAATGTCCTAGTGTAAAGAATTTCTTTAAAATATGTGAACAGAATTTTAAATATATATATACTTATAAATATATATATATAATGGATGCCTAAACTTTGATGAACACAGTTAAAAGTATCAGAGAAAAATCACCACAGGGATCACCTGATAATAATTAGTAAACATCAACTCTTCTTGGTCAAGTGACCAATATTATTTCACAGTTGACTGTGTTGAGGGTAGAGCCAGTGACCTTTGCCCTGAATTTTAATAATTTACTGTAGTTTTACATTAAATCAGAATATAATTGGGAAGAAAATTAGTGTTTCTTTGTGGGGAGTGCAGAGTAATGCCACTAATTGCATGTATAAAAGCCTTCCCGAGGTTGTATTTTCCTGTTCTTTCTTGATTTAGAAAATTAAAACTGCAGTGATTTTCCGCTATTTGTAAGAAGGAAAATGTGCCGGTGAAATGTACTCAGCTAACTTAAAATGTCAAAGCTCTGGGCCATCTATTTATGTCCAGTAATGACAAACTGTCAATTTCATCCCATTTTTCGGGAATTTACTGGCAACTTGTTGCAGATCTCAGAGTAGAAAAATACCTTATAACATGTGTGGTCTGAGAGAAGAAACAGTTTGATTTTTGTTTGATTTTTCTTCCTTTCACCTTTAATATCAGTGCAACTTTACAGTTAAAATGTGCCAGAACAAAACCCCACTCTTTTTTTTTCCTTTAGAAAGAGATGGACAAGAGAGAACACAATAAATTAACCTTAGTAGAACAGGAGATTAAATTAATAGTGCTTTAAAATTATTTTTAGATTCCGGGGGGATTTTTTTTCCCAGAGAAGTTATTATCAAGTAAAAGAATTGAACTGATTTTAAAAATATATTGGGTTTAAAATTATATTAAAAATATATGTATTCACAAAATTATATACACGTGTATGTCTCCCTAGAACTTGGAAGGGTTAAATCAGACCACTGTCGTGTTATGGGAAGTGTTTCTCGGCGGATATCAAGTGCCTTGAGTTTGTTATGTATTCAGTATGTATGTCATCATAAAACAGTGCACCTGCATTAGCCTTCATTGTCTCAGGGTAGAAGCTGAAAAAAAAATTAAAAACTCAAGAAATGAATATTTCTGCTAACAGCGTGTCAGTATTTTTCCCTTACTCCACGGACATTCTTGGTCTCAAAAGCAAACTGCAAAACACAGGCACTTGGGTTGGAATCCAGTGTTTATTGAAAAAGGCACCCTAAGGCAGCTGGGGTGGAAATGGTACATGTATGAAAAAAAAGGCAGCCGGGAAACTCAGCTGATCTGAGCACAGCGGCAGCAACTGTATTTACTAACACTTGTTTTCTGGGAGCCTATGAGAGAAATGGAAATAATTAGAAAGGACCTGAAAGGGTGGTATTTTGTTCCTTGTTCTCCTTATAAGGAGCAAAGCAAATTGCAGTAACACTTTGGGAGCTGGTATTCCCTACTGCCACGGGGACAGCAGATTCCTGGGTAGAGGAGTTTGTTTATACCTTAACAAATACAGACTTGTTGATTAAACAAGCAAAAAAAAAAAAAAAAAAAATGCCTGCCCCATTCTCTGCTTTCGAACACTTCCCCCAATAAGAAAATGTCTCATACAAATGCATCATGTGATAAGCCCTTGCTTTAGTCCCAAACCGAGCTGGAGTCCCCACTGGAGGGCTTAGTATTTGAATCCTTGGGGAGTCCACATTTTAGCTAAGAGTCCGGTTACTCTGTCATGAAACAGGGAGCTTTGCCACTTGCTTGTTTTGGAAGGAAAATAAATTAAAACAAGATTGCAGGGGATTTTAGTTATTAGATGGCCAGGACTCCTTTTAGAGTCTGTGGCATTCAAAGCTGGCTTTAATCACAGCATGATGCTTGAAGCCTCCAAAAGTCCAAGTGTTTCCTTTCTTTCTTTCTTCTTTCGTTTTTTTTTTTTTTTTTTTAAACGTTACTTCACTGAGGCAGAAGGCTGCCTTTGAGTGACGTCACGAATTTGAGCAGCAAGCTGCACAGGAGAAGGGAGGCTGGGTGAGTGACAGCCCAGCCTACTTTTTAATAGCTTTGTCATGTGACTGGGGACTGTAGTAAGACAGGTGCCTTCAGTTCACTCTCAGTAAGGGGCTGGTTGCCTGCATGAGTGTGTGCTCTGTGTCACTGTGGATTGGAGTTGAAAAAGCTTGACTGGCGTCATTCAGGAGCTGGATGGCGTGGGACATGTGCAACCAGGACTCTGTATGGAGTGACATCGAGGTGAGCTGGGGCTGGGCTCGGCACTGCAGCCGGGACCGAAGCTTCCCTCCCGATGCAATTATTCCTGTAAGGGGGGAAGGGCTTGGACAAGGCGAGGAGGCAGGAAAGTATCCCGAGCAGAAGCTTTTGGAAGGGAATCTCAATCTTATCTTAACTCCAATAAGTTTGCTATTTTAAGGTGGCTCTGAGATGCCTTGAGCAAATCAAAGCTTAGCTGCTGTCACCCATATCTGTTGCAGTTGGAAACTCTTTCCATGTGCCTTTGGCTCTGTTTCTACTCATATGCAATATTTATGCTCGAAGATATTGATATGAATCAGAAGCTGAAGTCTTTCCAGTGGTGTTTAGTGGCCTGGTTGGAAAAATGCCATTTCTATTTATAATAAGATGAAGATAAAAATATTAAAATGGATGTGCTCAAATATAGTCAGTTTTGACTCTAGTCCGGGTTCCCCCCCCACCCCCCACCCCCTGTTCATCAGAGAACTCACAAAATCCTAAATAATCCTGCTAGGCTATTTTAGATTGCTTTCCCCACAGCACACAAAACAACAGAGCTGATCCCTTTAAAACACCTATATGTGGTTGAAAGATTTGGTCAGCAAATAAAAAAAATATATATACATGCCTTACGCTGCAAGGTTTTCCATTAGCGTCGGTGGCAGGGAAGCCAATGGTTAAATCTCTCTGTACCACGGAGAGCTGCCTGAAGCCGGAGAGAGGAGTTTATGCAGGGCTGTGTGTGGGGCTGTTCGCTGCTTGTGTAAAAATAGACGGCAATACATCAATTCCACAGTCTCTGCTGGCCACAATTCATACACGGGGAGAAAAGAAAGCCGTTTCCTCATAATCTCTGGAGCCTACAGTGACTAACGGGGGGGACGGAGGACCGTGGCATGTTTGCATTCAACACAATGGAATGTTCTCGGAAAGTTAGGGCAACTTGGGAAAGAAGCAAAACTTTCTGTGGACTGCAACGAGATGGAGCCCAATTGCGTTGCACGGGAGATGAGAGCAGCTAACAATGACTCCCGCAGAGGACTGCTAGGGCTCCCTCTGGGTAGCCGGGGCCACGTAGGGTGAGGGGGAGGACCGAGAGCCACACGTGATTTGATTAAATAAGATGTCCATGTGGTGCGGCGATACACATCTAAAGTGAAAATAATTTGGCCGGGGCCGTCTGCGAATGCATTTCTCCGATCTAGCCAGGCATGCCCTGACTCCTTAACTCTTTCCTGGGTTTGCACATGTTGGCTCCGGTTGCCCTCTCCTGCCTTGGCAGATGGTTCTTGCGGATCCTGATTGTCCTTATCTTGTTGTGATTTCTCGGTAAGGTGGGCTAGAGATGGCTAATTCCTATGTCCCGTCGCTCTAAGTCAGGGCTCTAAGTGGCTTCAAAGTCCTAATTGTCTCGGGGTAGCCGGAGCGCCCTGTGGCTGGTTGTCTGGCTGGCAGTGTGGGTCTCAGCGGCTGTAGTTTCATTTTTCCATCATGTCTTCTTCTGGATGCTGAGAGTTGATCTGGGAATATGGAGAATTTCTTTTAATCACTGGAATTCCTGTAGTCATTTTCGAGTCAGCCTCAGCGCCATTTAGAACGGTGGCCCTTTTATGTTTTTCTGAAGGAGGTGAGTTCCCGGGCTCGGTGTCCAGCCGTGGATTGAGTTGTCGGCTGAGACTGGCCAGTCGCCTCTCTGTTGCACTGGAGCAGCGAGCTGCGAGGAGCTGTGCCTTGGCGGCTACAGCTCTGGGAATCACCTCGGCCAGTCTAACATATTACGAGCAGCAGGTAGCATGGGCAGCTTTCATTTTTTGAATCATGAATGTTTGCTGTCATCCTAAAACGTATTATGCCCTTTTGCACATAATGACGGGACAGCACAGTGGTTAATAAAGGCCTATATCACTGTAGCTACTCCGAGTCCCAAGTGTTTTACAGTTTAATGAAGCTGATGTACAATAAGGTTACCAAGATTGATAGAGACAATTCACATGACATAGCCGCCACTAAGACTGTCATTCTTTACTGCACGACCCACCCCCCCCCCGCCCCATCCACAGCCCTATTCCCTTTTCCCTGTTCTCACTAAATTTTTTTCTAAGAAGTAAGAATTCTTTTTTCATTAATATAATTAATGTGGCCAAGTCCACTCTTTCTTCTCTCTCTCTTTAAAATTTACCATCAATGGCACAAAAACCTCCAAAAGGTTAATGGAGAATTATACTTAATTATGATGATTCATTATCATCAGTGCAGTTAAGCTAATTTATTGTCTGCTCCTTAACTAAGAGAAAAGTCTGTTGGGGTGAAAAAACGCACAATAATTAGCCTTTTGTGTTTAGTGACTGCTTTATCCTCTTAAATCTTATTATAAAATTAAGGCTACGGTTGTGAAATAGCTGTCATAGTTGGAAAGAGGCGGTAGGATGTAACTGCGAGAAAGCACACCTGTTACAGATGTATAGGGAAGCCGTAAATACCAGCATGTCAGATGAGGACAGTTACAGGGCTCGGACTGTTAAGTCTGGCATCATCCAAAGGCCAAATATAAATTAATAACAGGAACACCTGCTGCCACTAATGTGTTTTAGATTATCGGGATAATGCCACATTCAGAAACACTGATTTTATTAGCATGTCAACATGGGCAAGAGCACACGCACCTTTTCAGCCATAACATAGGAGCAAAGCTGAGCCAGAAAGAGAAGAAGAGGAAAGGAATGTGTGAGTGACAGCAGAGAAAAATGCCAGAACTGATCTGGTCTTTTGACTGGTTTTCAGAAGTTCCTTAAAAATGCACATACCTGCAAGGGCGAAGGCTTTGGAACAAGCCATGCCTGGAGTCGGAAGTTTTAGAGAGAGAAGGCAAGAAGTTGTTCACCACTCTGTAGGACACGCCAGCATTCCAGAGCACAGTTTCTAAGTTATGTTCTCCACGACAGGCACTGAAGCCAGATGTAAAGCCCTTGTGTTTTCCACCTTCATTTTCCTTTTTGTTGCTGTTTTTGTTGTTTATGCTTTTTTGTTTAAGGGCTCTCCCTCAATGAAATCCTTGTGAGTTTTGTGCCACTGAAAAAGTGATCCCCTTGTATCTGAACTGATCGTGTTGTGGAAGAGTTAACACGGTGTGTCTGTACTTGGGGGATAAGCAGTGCGGGCTAGCATCGGGACTGGGAAGTGTTACACCCATAACAAAATGCAAACATGGTCCCAGGACAAAATCTTCTCCGCAGCCCAGCCTCCGCTTACTTATAAACCTAGTCAAGTACACCGATCTGCAACTTTGGGCTAACTCGGATAATAAAAATGGAATGACCAATAAAATGATAAGGAAAGAGTTCAGATGGAGAGGATTGCCCTTTCTTTTTGCATTACCTTTGTGCCTGCAGTTTGGGGTCTCACTGGGGCCCAGTGGTCTTAGGGAAGAATCACAGTCATCTTCAGGCTGCTCCCAGCCTCCCCTTACCAGCTGCTCACTCCATTACACAGTACCTACTTCTCAGCGTGGTGCTTATGATCGTGCGGCTGCATATGACCCGTGTAATGTAGCCTGCCAGGGATGACAGGGGTGCTCGAGGTAGAAAAAAAAATCTGCATAAAACTTATTTTATTCAAAACCTAAATGTCAAGCAGGATCTTGAGCTTCAGGCCCAACTGCTGCCCGGATTTGAACAACGCCACAGCATCTCTCCTGACCTGGAAAGTTAGGGCCATGAGGGTGCCACTTCAGAGTGCGTGCCTGCTCTGATGTAGACACCTTGACTTCCATGTGGATTAAGTCCTTCTGGCTCTGGTATCACCAGAGCCCTGCAGTCGGAAACTTCTGCAGGGTTCTTCACAGTATGCCGTGAGGAAATTAGCAGTCAGATTGCTGATTTGATGTCAGAAGACCACCTCTTTGATAAGGTGGGCCACTTCTTTCAAAAAGCCACAGTGTAGGACAATTAAAAGGCCACCTACTCCATGCAAGGGAGTAAAAGACTATTCCAATCTGAAATAGCCTTGCTGACAAACGGCCCAGTCATAGTATGGTCTGTTTTAAACCTCTCACTATATTGAAATCATTGACAAACTCTGAAGAATAGTTCTTTTGAATTCACTCAGAGCATAGGTTAGGAATGCATAAATGATGTAAAAACAAAAAATGGTTGTGGAGCACTATCATGGTTTTTTCTTTCTAGATGTCAAGTGATCCCAGTCATACAACTCTCCCCACTTGACTTATAAGTTAAACCTTGTAAAAGATGTAAAGATCATATAGAAAAACTATGACTTTTGTCCTTATCTCAAGGAACTTGCTTTTGACCTGTTCAAGATGAAGTGCTGTGGCTCATGAAAAGTCAAGTTACAAGATTTAAGTAATAATTCAAGAGAACCATAGACAAGTTAAAGGACTTGCATCATTAGTTGCTAAATGAATTATGTGGATTATAATGGTTAAAATGAGTGTGAATGGAGAAAGTTTTCCTAGTAGAGTTCTTATGCTTTTATTTTTCATTTAACAATTGCTTATTTTGTTTCCATTATGTGTGATAATGATTCCAAGGTAAAATCAAATTTGTATGCTTCCCTCAAAGAGATTATACTCTTAGGGTAGAGTAAAATTTTGCCCAGAGGTAACTGGAAAACAAGTTGAAGCTCATTCGGTGCTAACCATCAAAAAGTTGATTTCTAACTGGAAGAATCAGAGAAGACTTCACAGAAACATGGCCTTTACCATGACTTTGGAGGTAGAAATTTGGATGGAATGGATCAGGCAAAGTATTCTTTGAGAGCAAAGTCAGTAAAGGAATTTAGGATTTTTTTTTTATTTCCTGGTGGTTAAAACCCTGGAAACCAGCTTTGGTGGTGTGGTTGAATTAACCAGGCTTAATTCCTATCACATGCTATTGCAGTTTAATAAATTCCTGCAGTTAATGAAAGCTTTTTTTCCCCCCTGCCTCCTGCAGTGTGCTGCTCTGGTTGGTGAAGACCAGCCTCTTTGCCCAGATCTTCCTGAACTTGACCTTTCTGAACTAGACGTGAACGACTTGGATACAGACAGCTTTCTGGGTGGACTCAAGTGGTGCAGTGACCAATCAGAAATAATATCCAATCAGTACAACAATGAGCCTTCAAACATATTTGAGGTAAGGGCATCCCTTGGCGAAAATTAACTTCTCATTGAACTTGACTTGAGCCATAATATCATTATTGGCCTGAAAGCATAATGGCTTCTTACTTTGCTGTCATCAAAAGACTTCTTATCACAGGTAGGCCCTTCCTATTTTATGGAAAAACAGTGTTAAAATAAGTGGATTTGTTGTTGTTGTTGTTTTGAGAACTGGGGGGCTAAGGGCCCCTAACAGAGTGCGTTACCCTGTGTTGAAATACTAAGGGGTTGTGAAAGCTTTAGTGACAAAGAAGAACAAAAGTCTAAACCTGTTTGTTCCTGTCTGTTTCCCACAGAAAAGTGCCTGATGTAAATTAATGTGAAATGTAAAAGAATGCATTTTTTTTATCCATGAGATTAGACATCTACCTTTATTTGTCTCACAAAGTTAGTGGGTAGTTTCATTATCGTTATTTTTTGATCATACCTCTGATTTCTCTACAGTATAGAAATGTCTAGGCCCAACTATTCTAATATTTACTTACAAATTAGTAAAAATTCGCTTACCTTTCAACAGGGAAAATTACCTCGCAGCCTCCAGACTCTTATTATAAGCCTACCCTATAATAAGGAATGTTAATCTACTCCTATTAAAGTGTTACTTTGAAAAAAAGAAGTTCTTTCTTACAAGATCAGCACTCATTTACTTAAGAAGAAATGGTTTCTTGTAGGGACAAACATTGAGCAGTCGGGCAAATGATTTGAATAAAGATTGTCAAGCCAACTAGCTTTCAATATCACAACTACCAGCACTGCCATCATCGTCTAACATCTTCTCCCTGACATGTGCCAGGCTCCATGTAAAGTACTTTAAATGTCTTTTTTATCCCACCAGCAGAAACATTCTTAAACTTCAATGTATTTGGTTGAAATCTCAAGTCATTAAGAAAGCCAATTTTACAATATTTATTGAGTTTTTCCAGCACCCAGCACATAAAAAGCACTGAATAAATGTTTATTGAGTCATTAAGAAAACCAATTTTACAATATTTACTGAGTTTTTTCAGCACCCAGCACACAGAAGGTGTTGAATAAATGTGGGTTGACGAATAAGTGTTGACTGTAGTAATGTTAAAAACAGTAAGAGCAATGACAACAATGGCCAAGTTTTTGAAATCTCTGTGCTGTATATGTGTCATCTCACATATCCCTCAAAGCAACCTATTATTTAGGTACCATTAGTGTCGTTCCCATTTTCCATAGGCAGACACCGAGTCTCAGAGAGGTGAAGCGATTCTCCCGAAATCACACAGCTGACAAATAAAGACCAGGGATTTCAACCCCAAATTGATCTGACTTCCAAGACCGTATCACTGATAAAAATAGAGTACCAGTGAGATTGGGTGACAACCATCCTTTACAAAGACATATCAAGCTGCTGCTTTACTGAATATATTTAAAAATAGAACAGACTCGTTCCTTTCAGTGTCGGTTGACATGAAAGCAGGGATAGCTGGGGAGCCGAGGTGCCTGTGGGTTCTGTCCACAGCTGAGAGTTTCTAGTATGTCTGAACAGAGTCTTGGAAGAGGACTCAAGGTGGGGGAGTGAGGGCTGGGGAGAAAAGGCACTGAACGTCTGCGGTTAGTTACAGTTCCCGGGCTTCTCAGCCGGGTCTTTGAAAGTTCATGTGAGGACTTGGCTGGTTAGAACTGGTAAATTGAACATTCCTCATTCAGTACACTCGTCAGGCGACAGGCCCGTTTTAAGTCATGCTGCATTAAATAAACAGTACTTTAAAAAATGTCCATCTCCGTAGACCTCTTATCTAAAAATCGGTATTCCATTTTGGGCGATTGCCATGCATTTTGTAGGTGATGGCTACAGAATAACTAAAAGGTGGGGGTGGGGGGCATGGCGTGGGAGTCAGTGCCTCCCTGGTGGGCTAGTTTCAAAAAAATCCCTTCCCCATGACCTTGTGTCCCCATATTTCATGTTGTGGCTCCTGCATGAGGTACTTCTCATTTACACCTTGAGGAGACTTGGTTCAGCAACTAGTTATATATAGATGCTTTAATCTCCACGAAGACACCCCTTTTGCTTCTCTGTATAACTTTCTATCACTGATAGGATTGTTTTCAATGCTCCAAAACACAAGGTTCATTTAATTTAATTTCTCATTAGCTCATTTTAAACCAGTGACTCTCAGCCGAAAGCAATTTTGCCCCCCAAGGGACATTTAGCGGTGTCTGGAGATATGTTTGATTTTTAGGACTGAAGGCAAAAAGATGCTCCTGGCATTTCGTGGGTAGAGACCACACACAGCACAGCTTCCCACAACAAGGAACTATTTGGCCCCAGATGATAAGAGTGCTGAGGCTGAGAAACCCTAAAAAAAAAGAAAGTCACTGAAATTCCCTTTTGTAAAATGCTAAAGACGACTGGTCAGCTTTCAGAGAGACAACATAGTTAAGATACAGGATATGAAGGATCAGAAGCTGGGGCACCTGGTGGCTCAGTCGGTTAAGTGCCCAACTTCAGCTCAGGTCACCTTCTCACGGTTTGTGGGTTTGAGCCCCACATCAGGCTCTGTGCTCACAGTGTGAAGCCTGGAGCCTGCTTCAGATTTTGTGTCTCCCCCCCTGCCCCCCTCCCTGCACCTCCCCCCTTCGTGCTCTCTCTCAAAACTAAAATAAACTGGGGCGCCTGGGTGGCTTAGTCGGTTAAGCGTCCGACTTTCACTTAGGTCATGATCTCGCGGTTCGTGGGTTCGGGCCCCGCATCGGGCTCTGTGCTGACTGCCGGCTCAGAGCCTGAAGCCTATTTCAGAGTCTGTGTCTCCCTCTCTCTCTGACCCTCCCCTGTTCACGCTGTCTCTCTCTCCCTCTCCTAGAAATAAATTAAAAAAAAAAAAACTAAAATAAACATTCAAAAAATATGTAAAAAAAATCAGAAGCCATATAAAATTAGGGAGATGCCCAGAGCCTTGGGACTGGGATGTCAGGAATTCTCTTAGCAACAGCAGAAGTGACCATTTAGATAACTGTAACAGTTTTCTCTGATGTCACAAAACTCATTCTTCTTTGTCTGTGCAAAGGGTAAGGCCATATGTGGCAATACTGTGACACACGGCCGCAGCTTCCTGAACATTTGCATACAGCCAGAATGCCTCTACTCTTTGCCCTCTAGCGTTAAACTCAGACATCTTTTCTATAACAGGAAAGAAAAAAAGTGTGTGTGGAGCATAGGTGGAATTCAAAAATTTTGTCTTCCCCTGTGAGGAAGGTCCACACGCAACACAGTAACCCTTGAAGGGCCCCAGCTTTGTGAAGTTTACTGCATCTCCCTGAAGCCCTTCCCAGGGCCTGTGCCTTTAAGCCTCTCCCCGCGGACTTTACCCGTGTTCACCTTCTTCCACTTCTCAAAGCCCTGCCTCATCACATTTGTGAAGTCCTTGTACTTGAGCAAACCAAACAGTCCAGGTTTCCGCCACCCCTGATCTACCAATAACAAGCATTCTCTACCTCAGATTCCCAGAATAAAATAAGGCACCGAGGAGTGAAACACTTTCCCTGACTCAAGCACCACATGGATAACACCCCTGGAAACTGGCCACAGGGTTTCTGAATTCTAATCAAAGCAGAAAGCGAAGGGGTATTTAGAGATACAGATAGGACACGGGTCGTTTACAGATAGTATACCACAATGTCCAAACCTCACGAGTAAATAGAAATTCCTTTCTTTGGCCTCTTTCGTACATTTGACTCTAAGTTTAATTTTTGTCTGACTTGAGAAGAAAAGAAGAATGTCATTGAATGTCACAGTTTGGGAAAGAGTGAATTCCCCCGTGAGAGCAAGCAGTGCCAACACGCAGTTGTCCCCGTCGATTGAGAAATTGGACACACCGGCAGCTGTCTCTGCTTGTACAACCTATGTTGGAGGTGTAAATGCAGGTGATCAGGTATTATTCAGAAGCTACTTAGAAAAAAACAGGACGCAGGCTTTTAGAGGTGCAGCCTCCTGTGAATCTAATCCATGTGTCAGGAAAACAGGATGCTAACTCTGGATCAGTTGGCAGCAAGATTTATGTTTCAGAATATTGCAACATAACTTCCTTCCCTCTCTTGCCTTTGTGCATTGTTTGAAGGAGGAGAATAAAGGAGTACTTTTACAGCATGGCAGTGTGTAAGGATGGGTGGCACGGGATTGGTTTAAGTAGCACGTTGGTCCTCCTGGGTCAATGTGAGCCACCTTGTCCCTTCTTTTTTTGAACATCTGCTTTCGATGCCTCCTTGATGCAACTGAACGAGCATCTTTCATTCATTTGTCTCTTCCCTCTGCATGCAGCTACTTAGAGTTCTTTACAACATGGCAAGTGAGAATGTAGTTGTCTCTAGGTCGTTACTCATAATATGTTCTGAGGCCTGCCTTTGCGAATGGGCGGAGGAGGGCTCACAGCTGCAGCCAGCATTCATGTCAGGTGATTATGGGGACTCTGGGTAAGGTCTGATACTGTGAACTTTTGTGGGAGTCAGAGTGGGGGTAGTTTCCTGTTATCTGTTCCTAAGGTGTCCTATCATGCTAATAAGGGAATTATGATTGGAAGCTTTCAAGAACACTTACTTATTCTGGTGAGAATGTAAATGATTTTGTATTTCTCCTTGTGACTTTCAGTTGTGTTCTCATTTTTTTCTCTAAAATGGGTGTATACTATGTACTTATCAAAGAGTTAAAAAATTGGCTATTCAAGTGATTATGAATATTTTGGGAGCAAGGGCCTTGCTTGTCTTGTTCCCTGAAGTTTTTCTAGATGTTTTGTTAGAAAACATCAGAAAGGAAGTGCTCAGAAATATTTGCAACATAATGAATGAATGGACCATCATGTATTTATTTATTGATGATGTGAATTGTATTAGGTAATGTGAAGATTACATATAAAGCAGAAAGGATCTATTTCCTAAAGAGCCTTAAGCCTAATTTCGTAGGTAAAATGAAGAAATGTGAAACAATTAAGCAAACAATGAAAGACTACGTACACA